CCTGCCCAGGGATGGCGAGGTAAGCTATTCACACCAAGGGCTTCTGCATACACCCTTTGACGGGCTGAGGGGCTGTGAGAGGATGGCAAACTGCCATGACTCCTGAAGCACATCAAAGAGGAAAGCACTGCTTCGTGCCTTCCCAGGTGGTCCCCGATGCACACACAAATGTGGAACATACATCTGTGATGCAGCTGGGGAGAAGGCAGCTGCAGAGAACGGCACATTTCCCAGCACAGCCGTCTCCGCAAACCTGGCTCACTGGAGCCAGCTCAGGCACCTACGGTTTTGTGCTGCAAGTAAGCATCTCTTTATGTCACTGCAGAAAAAGAGGTGCCTCCAGAAATTACTTGTTTCGGGATTGGATCAATTGTGTTCTGGATGTCCTGGGCATTTTTTTTCCCCTGGAGGTAAAAGGAGAAGAAAAGCCACTCAGGCCTAGTGGGGACTGCATGTCCATGGACGGGGGGCATGGATATGTCCCTGGGACAGATGCACAGGCATACATGCCTCCCAGCCTGTCCCTATTCTCTCTGTGTCACTGGCGAGGACCACTGGTGCCAGGAGTGGGAATATTCACTGTGAGTCGGGCACTGCAAGCTGGCACCTGAACAGAGACCCTAAATCCTGCTTTACAGATGCTGCTTCATTGCTGGGAGGTCGTGGCAGAATCTGCCAGAAACTCAACTCCTCTCCTCTCCTCTCCTTTTTTTTTTCCCTCCAGCACCATCTTCTCTTTTCTTGTTATTGCCAGTAAGTATCACAGAGCATGAAAACAAAAATCCATACCGAGGATTTTTGGCCACTTTCCTTTCGACTTACAGAGAAGATGCCCTGCATATTAGGGATGATATTTCCAGGGAGGGGGGGCTGGATTTTATCTTGGTGAACATGAGGGTGGGTTACAGCTCCCCAGGCTTTCATCCTATAATCCTTTGCACCTCTGTAGCAGCTTTCTGTAGGAGGACCACGGAGTGTAGCATCACAGCCCTGGGATTAACAGAGATCATTTTGTATCTCACCAAATGTGCCTGGCTCTGGGAAGGAGAGCAACACGTGATAAAGACCACATTCTGCTTAGGATGCTTTCACTTCACCGAAGACAAGAAGGAAAAAAGAACAACACATTTAATTGACAGTGGGGGAGAAATTTAGGTCGACAGAATTGTAATTACCTGTGCTGGAGTCTGGCTAGGACACTAGGTTTAGCACCCCTGCTTGTATGAATCAGATGAAACTTGAGTATGAAATCACAAAAGAAAACCCTGTTCTCCTTTGTAGGGTTTCAGAGGCATTTTCTACAACTTGGTTTCTCAGAAAAGGGATCAAAATATCTTCCCAGTCCTCTTGTTTTTTAACAACAGCAAAGAAGCCCCTTTCTGTCTGTAAGGGAAAGATCTAATTTCTTAGAAGCTTCAGAAACTTTCCAAGGCATTTTGATATTTCCTAAACAAAGTGGGAGGACGTGGGAATTGGGGATTTATGGGAGCTTTGCCTGTCTCACCAGCATCAGCCCACCTGGCATGGTACTTCAAATTTCTCACAGAGACATTCATCTGTGAGTAGAGATGGGAAAAACAGCTCTGTGGAAGCTGGTGTAAAGCAGGTGAGCCGGGTGGAAGTTAGAGGAGCTTTGCTGAGTCTTTACAGCTGCAAAGCAGCATTGATGATCATCAAAAATCATGGAAAAGGCTAGTCAAAAGGACAGCAAAAATTTATAGAAAAGGCAAAAACAATTTTTGCTACCTATGGTGCAACAGTCCTATGGTGAGAGTGTGACCATGGCTAAGGAGGAAGATGAAGGACCCATTGACACGTGTCTGGGAGTGGCAGCATGCAAGCGGGCACTGAGGGGCGTTGGGGGGGAATGGGCAGCAGCAGGCAGGGCTCAGCCAGAGCAGCAGGTCCCGACTGTGAGGTGCTGTGGTCACTGGTGAGTCCTGGTAGCAGACATTGGTGGAGCTTCTTGAGGGGCTTGGAGGAAAAGTCTTTGTACAGACATTTCCCACCACTGAACAATCCTCTGAAGTGTGGAGTCCTTCATAAGCCTTTGAGATAAGGCTTTGGACATCCTGTTAGTATTTTCCATTTCTAATTGGAAAGACTCCAGATTTCATGGCTTGTAATTTGGAGTGCACTGATGTGGACACATTGGATCTGCTGAGGCTCCACCTGATGTTCCGAAACGGACCTGCTGTCAGTGATGGGTGAAATACCACCCCTGATCCTGCAGTGGCAGCACACACGTTCTTCCCCACCGTGATTCAGCCAGCCAGGACCAATCTTGTATCTATCAGGAGAAAAGTGGGTGCTTTGCACTGAAATTTTCAGAGGTGTCCTCAAGTTTGCTCTGTAATGCAAAGCCAGCAGGAAAAAAAAATTACCTAAGCATCGCAGGCTCCAAATAGGAGCATATATTGAACATTGTGTTGTTGGGGAACTTGTAGCCACAAGAAATATAGATGGGTTTAAAAGGCTGTCAGACAAATCCATAGCAGAGTAATACCCCCAGGGCTATTAGACACACTAGTGCAGCTCCTGTCTGAGGAGATCTCTGAAGCTCAGCTTGCCTGAAGCCTGGAGGCATGTGAGGAACTGTATATTGCTGCTTTCCTTCTTTTCTTTCCCTAAGAACTGCAGCTGGCCGCTATGGAGACACATCCCAGGCTTGTTTATTGGGACCACGGCTCTCTAATGTGCCAGTCCTCCTTACTGCCAAGGGATTTCATACTGGAGAGGCAGGCTGAGCACCTTTAGAGGGCTTGCAGACTTCCTGTAGAGTCAGTGTCTTTTCCTCCTGTGACACGAAGGGACAATCAGGCACCAGTTTTGAAAGTGGCAAGAACCACCTGAGAACCATGTTGGGACTCCTTCCCCCAGAGAGCTGGAGGTCTTCACCCTGGACTCACTCAGGTGTCCCCCAGCCCTTTCGCCCCTGACTTTGGTTTCAGCACGACGGCTCTGGGCTGAGTCCCAAAGCAGAGCCTCCTGCTCTGTGCTCTCTCCTGTCCCTACGCCTCTCTCTCTCAGCTTCTGTTAATTGAAAGCCAGACTTGCAGATAGCAAATGATTTCTAGGTGCTCACAACCCTAACACCACCTTAATTAAGTTCTTTGGATGAGAATTTCCTTAGGCTGTTAGTTCTTCTTAATGAGACCAGACAAGGGGATGGGGAGAACAGGCCATTAGACATGATGTTCTGAGATAAATCTTGGCTGCGGCCCAAGCAAGTGCACCTTTGCACCTAGGATTTCAGTGCTCTTCTCTTCCAGGCCCGAAAAACACCATGTCACAGGACAGACCAGCTAAAAGTCTTGTTCATCTGAAGGCTTGACCATTTGTTTCCAGCCTATCAGTTGCAGTAAAAAAAGCTATGACCTCTGCTGACAAAAACTTTCTCTGGAAAAATAGCAAAACTTTATTCAGTCTAAAGGGGGATGAGATGCATTGATAGACACTGCCCACTCCTTGTGTTTTTATCAAGCAGAGCAAGACTGTTAGTAAATGTTATAAAACACAAAAACTATTGGAGTAAATCTTAACTGTGATGGAGTGATCAACCATGGGATGAATTCCAGCAACAACATGCTATCAGCACAAGCAATGTGTTTCTTCTCCTGTTGGAAGAGCAAGCTCAAATCTCCCTTCCCGCCCCCGAAAGTAACCAGACAGATTTTTCTTGATGCACAACCAATAGGACTTTTCTAGTTTTACTAACTCCAGGGTAATGATGGTCTCTTTATCCTCATTTTTCTCCAGCAAAACAATAAAAAGCCCCACAAGTTTAAAGTTCTGCTTTAAAGTCCCAGGATACTTTTTCTCCTCCACCCTTTATCCCCAAGCCTCAGCCTCACACCAGGTCATTCTCTGTCTGCCTGCATTTATTTCTCTATTTATGTTTTAAGTAGATGCATTAATTTTTCAGGGATTCTTCAGGGAACAGGAGAGGTAGCAATTTGATTTACGAAATTCATTTGCTCAAAGTTGTGTGCCAGCAGCTTGTCCCCAGCTCTGCGTGTCACAGCTGCCGCCCATCTGGGACTGAAGGAGTGGGCTAAGGGATGCATGGAGAGGGGCAGTTGTGAGTACAGCCACATATGCTGCTTCCCAGTTTCCCCATTGTATTTAGCAGCAAAGATCCTGGTTTAAGTTCCGCTTCTGGATCAGAGACAGGTTTGGGTGGAGGGGAAGAGCACAAAGTGTGCAAGAGGAGCCTACCTACCTGAGGGGAGACAATGCTGAGGGACAGACCCCTCGTGCCCCATTGGGAGATGTCTCTCGATCTCCTTACAGCACAGTTGTAGCAACCAAGAGCTTGCTGGAGAAGCCTCCACTGGAGGCTCCACGGGAATGGTACCCACACTTTGATGCTGGTGCTGGTCAAGGCTAAGGTCATGGTAATGCATCCCTGATGGGGTTGCATCAGCTTATGACTGGGCAAAATTTAGCTGAGGAAAAACCAGATGTGCCACTGAGGACCCCCATCTGTGTGCCCGGAGTACCTGGGGCTCCTGCAAACAGCTCCTGGAAGTGGCAAGCCAAGAGCTCAGATTCCTGCCACCAGCAGCTGTGCTCCCTCCTCCCAGAAGAAGGGAGTGTCACTGGGACAGGCTGAAAAATAGCAATGCACTCAAATAACACAAGAACATTGCTGGGACAACATGAGCACATGCAGGCTTAGCAGCTGGGAAACACCTGGATGCTGGAGTGGGGATGTGGAGACACAGAGTTTAGTATCTCCAGCTCTGCTTGAACACAGCACAAACCACCTTCATCTCACAAGAACTGTATCAAGCTATGCATCCACCACCAGCCTGGCCTGTTAGCACAAGCCCCTGCTCAGCTCTGACCAAGCAGCGCTGAGCAAGGGAGAGCCTGAGTAGCAAGGGCTGTGGGAGGGATGGGTGACTTCTGTCACTCTCTGCTCTGGTCTTTTAAGATGCAGAGCCAAAGGTCAGGTGGTGTAATTCAGGAGCATCTGACCTGAAGTATTTACTTACTCCTTATTGAGCTCCCACTTGGTTAGCAATTTCCTGCACGGCTCCCGGCTCCCAGCCATGGCTGCTTTGACGTTCTCCATGCTACCAGGCAGTCACACACTCCTTCCTCTTGGGAACTGTGAATGTTCAAGTCAATGCCATGGGTCAGCGGTTGGATGGACCCATTGGGCTGGGTTCTTTGTAGGATGGTCATGGGGAACATTCACAGCAGCTCCCCACGCTATCCCTGCCCACATCATCAGTGCAAACTCTGCACAGTTTGAAGGCATCGATATTAATACATTAATTAGTCCTTCCTGTTATTGTTTACTTATCAGCTCTTTATTAGAGAGCTCCCTTTTATACACACACAGATTTGTCCTTTCGGCACTTGCTTTGTTCTGTTACAAGATTATAATGGCGTGTTTGTTCCCCTGTTTACAGACGTGTTGTAATCCTAACTGCTTCACTTAAGTGTTTAATGAAGGTCTTTACTCTAAATTGTTTGCTGGCATTTTCTTCTACAGTTGAAGGATAAGAAGAAGCTGGAGCACACTATTTCATTCCAATGATTTATATTACTCGATATTTTATATCAAATGAAGGAGACTTAACTGGCCTAAATGGTTGTTACATCTGAGTCTGTGGCTTTTCTTGGAGGACTGAAGCCGATGGATTTTGTTTCAGAAACTGACGGGGATGCTTTGTGTTCAAGTAACAAATCCTCACATGCAGCCACAGCAACAACAGGCACAATAGAGGTGCATATTAGCCATTACACGCCTCCCAAGGCCTCCAGTGGGCAGGGTAAATGCCCAAGAGCTCTTTGGCATAGTCCATCCAGGGTGTCAATCACAGCATTGGGAAATGTTTAGAAAAGTTGATGCCACCATGTGTAGAGGTGGATGCCAGCTGGAAATGACACTGGTTTTATGAATGTGCAGCTGATGGCAGCTATTGGACAGCTCTGCCCTTCATGTCTCTCAAGCCAGTGGCCCACATCTGCAGTGGAGTTCGATGCAGCTTCAGAAACAGCCAGCACTGCTTCCTCAGCATGACCTGCACCCTCCTCACCCCTGGAGATCAGAGCCCCCAGCCATGGGGGACACCCAGGGCCCCTTGCAGGAAGGGTGATGGGCTTCCCCCCATGCTCAGGGGAAGGCTGTGTGTCTGCCTCGTCTCTGGAGCTCTGCCTCCAGCTCTCCACCAGGCCGGTTCCCCTTTCAACTCTGCCTGCATGGGGTCTGGCACTTGACACAGAGTGACTGAGCTGTAAGGCACCACTCCTCTGAGCAGCAGCCAGCCTTGTTGGGGGACAGCAGCTCTCTCCTGGCTCTCAGCAGCCATGACAAGGTTACTGTCCCCAGGTGATGATGTTGAATCACAGACCAGGAGTCCTCAACAGCTCCTAGAAAATGTAATAGAAGCTAAACTACACACAGGAAAAAAAGGATCACTCCCCTGGCCCTTTGGGCTCTGAAGCAAAGCTAAACCAGTCCTCGAGACCACAGCATCCAGCAGCAATGGGGCTATTACCTCCTCCTGAGCATAGTGTCAGGAGAGCTGCACTCTTCCCTTCATACACCCAGGCACCCTGCAACGCTTGACTTCCCCAGCATGCTTCTAAGGGCCTCCCAGACATCGCCTGACACACTCCATACAAGTGTCACCACAGGCTTTTGAATAACGAGCAGATTCAGCCAAATGGCAAACCATTCAGAGGCCACCCACAAGCAAAAAGGAGGATTACATTTGTTGATGAATAAATGCTTGTGCTAAGAATAGCTCCTTCCAGCTTTGCTGCTCACCTACCTTATCCTGCTCCAATTACCTAACTTAATTTACTCCAGCTGTTTCTCCATATCTCTATGATCTATTTTCTACCTCCTTCTGGTTCCTCTTTGATTTCACTGTATATTTTAACATACCAGATTCATTTATCTTTGAAAGTGCCTCTCCTTACAGGAAGACTGTATACAGCATTGCTATATTCATGTTACTTCCATTTCCAATCCACTCACAGCTAGGCTTTGTGGCACATACAGATGCTGGCAGCACACTAGCTATATACATAATATATTCAGCCCAGGAAGCACTTGTTCCTGAATGAAACTTATTGTCCCAACCCATTCCCATCTCTTTCAGCAGACAGGTTTGGGGAGGAAAACTACAGTCTGAATTCCTGAGATATGCTCTCATTGATAACCAGGCTCAGCCATTACTTCTCAGAGCTCCTATTTCTATCCTGTCTGTTCTCAGGTCAGGTGCATGGCACTATGGCTTTTGCTGTCACTCTCAGTGACAGGACTAGTCCGAAGGTGCATTTGCCTAATTTCCTATTTTGATAGGAAAAAAAATGGTGATGTGGACAAATATTGGTGCAGCTGGAGGCAAAAGGCAACTCTGCTCCATGTGTGATACCTAGAATGGATCTTGCTTTCTTCTACACAAGTCCTTTCCACTGTCAAGCCAGGACCAGAAGACATTAAAGTAATTCAAATACCAAACAAAAAGCTTTCTCCCTATCTATGTTGTTGCTCACACTGAAGAGCCCAAGACACCACAGTGAGAGGCTGCAGCATGACCCAGAGATGTCTCCAGCACACTCACGGGGGGGAGAGCAGAGCAGAAAGGGACATTCTCACCACCTAAAGGCCTTTGAAATACCTTGGCCTGGCTGCTTTGCTCAACCCCATCCCTGATTCTCTGCAGTAACTGGGGGGCACAGGAGCAGTACCTGGGACCGGCCCAGAAGGTAAGAGTGGGGGACCTTGCTTTAAATTCAGGGGAGGTGGATCTGTAGGACAGCTGGGAGCAGAGTTTGCGGGGTCACAAGCACTAATCTCAGCTATCCCCCTTCCCTGAGTACCACCAAGGTCTGGAAGGACAGCCTCATGGGGAAGGGAAGGGGTGAGCTGGTCTCCAAGGTGCCACCCTTCCCTCGCTCACAGTGTAGCTGCAGCTCAGCTTTCCCTTTGCAAAGCTGCAGTCACTAGCAGTGCCACTGAGTCCCCAGGCACATCTATGAGAACCTGCACACTCTGGGCTAGGGCATCTCCTCCTGCAGGATGCCTGAGAAGGTTTCGGCTCATCCAGATGGAGATCTAATTGAAGCAGGTCTCCAGGAGTCCCTTGATGGATGAGGGAAAGACACCTTCATCCCCAGACAGCTGTCTGCAACCCTCTGTTGTAGGGGTGAGGTTCCTTCTTGGAGGTACCTGTGTCTGGCAGCTGTCTACGGAGTGTGGGTAATTTAGCCTGGACATAGCTTTTAGACCTCCAAAGCTGGGAGTCAGGGATCCACCATCTGTACCTAGTATGTAAGGGTGGATAAAATCAGAGGATGATACACAGGGCTTCAGTGTGAACAGGTGAAGATACCTATTATCCCTGATCTTTGAGACCCCCCTCATCTCTTCTTGCTCCTCATCTCCTGCCTTCTCTAGTGCCCATAAGGCTTTTCTCGCTCCCCCTGAGCTGCCGCATGAACCACGAGCTGCCAGGACCATAGCCGCCGCACCAAGCCCGTGCTAAGCACCATTCCCCAGGGGCCCAGCTGGGTCTCCAGGGGCTGCCTGGCTCCCTGGTTATCCCCCTGCCACCCTTTAACACGGCCTCCCACACGGCTGGAGGAAGCAGCTCCTCTGCAGGCACAGGCAGTTCTCCTGAGATGCCTTTTAAGCGCTGGCTGGAGAGGGAGGAGAAGCAGAGTCTGTGCTGGGACCGTGGGGACAGCTGGGCAGTCCCGCTGGGCTGGGAGTGGGGTGGGAGCCGGGTGGGAGCGGACTGGAAGAGGCTGAGAGCAAGACGGGAGCGGGCTGGGAGCGGGCTAGGAGCGGGCTGGGAGCGGGCTGGGAGCGG